ACTCATCATACTAAATATGTATTATTTCCCTCTGGTTGTGGAAACAAAATATCATTCATTTGGTGGCTGAAGAGAACACAAACTTCTCACGGTTCTGAGGGTAGGGGCATCCAGGCGGCTTGGCTCCTTTTTCTGCCCAGGTCCCACAGGTCGATGTCAAAGGTCCACCTCGCATGGCTGTTGTCTGGAGGCTCAGTGAGAATCTACTTCTTGGCTCGTTCAGTTGATGACCAAATTGAGAATTAGGACTGGAGTCTCTGTTGTCTCTTCTCTTTATCTTAAAATTTTTATTTTCTCTGCGCCTTAGTGCATGGCAGGCAAGCGCTGTACGACTGAGCAACACCCCATGTTTTCCCAGTGGCTATCAGCTGGGGTTTGTTCTCAGCTTCCAGAGGCCGCCTGCATTCCTTGCTCTGTGGCCTCTTCATTTTCAAAGCCTGAGAGACTGGTGAACTCCCCCTCAGGCTGCCCATGTCTTCTGCCTTCCTTTCCTGCATGCGATTGTAGTGGCCACTCTCTAATAAACCAAGACAGTCCTTGTATTTTAAGATCACCTGTTGGGCAACATCAGTTCCATCTGCAAAGGCCTCCTTCTAACTTAGGTCCCATTTTCACAGGTCTAACACCTGGGACAGGAATCGCTGGTGTCCATATCTTGCCTACCACTACATAGTCTCTTCCTCTGTTCATTTCCATCTCCCTGTCTAGAATCTAGGGGTCTCTGTTTGGTATCTCCAAACTTAGAATGCTTTCTCGTAGGCCTTCAATCTTTGTTAAATGGATGAATGGACGGATGGATGGATGGTCGCAGACTGGGTAGTTAGTCTTCCTCTCCCCCTTTGAAAGCTGAGAGTCTATGACTTTCATTCTGATCTGATTTTATTCAGTGTAGCTTCCCTGGCCCCACACCACTGGTTACTGCTGTGGGACCCAAGGAGCTCTGTAGTACGATGTGTCACTTTCCTAATGTAACTTCCTAGTTGACAGAGAGGCACATTGGGGACACAAACTGACTAGGGAGCCTCAGGCCCTTCCCAGCCCTGTCAAATGTCCAATGCTTTCTTGGGACAAAACTTCAGGGATAGCAAAGCCACCCTGGAAATGCATTCAGCATTGTTTTTGTTCAGCAAATGAAAATTTGAAGTCTCAGTCTACATGTCAATTATCCAATGAAAAAATTTTTAAAATGATTTAATAATCAGCTGGATGTGTCCAAATACTTTGTTGCTTAATACTATGTAGACAGCCTAAGTCATGAGACCTGAGCTTGTGTGAAGAGCTTGAAATACACAAGTAACAGATTTGCTATTTGGGTTACAGTGTGGAAAAAAAAAAAATCTGTGGCAACAGATTTATGTATTAGTTTTTCACTTTGCCACCAGATGTCCTTCATGAGTAGGAAAATATGATGGCCTGAATGATATTTTGAAGTGTGAATGCCCAGCATTTTTGAACAGACAGTGAGGGGAGAGAGTGAGTGAATGTACATGTTACCACAGACTTTTGGATGGGACACGTATTTTGGAAGCTGCCTGACAGGTGTAGCTTTCACAAGCAATGTTTATTTAAATCTCAGATTCTCATTTCTCATACCCTGCAAACAGTGACTTAATTGCTCAACACCAAACTGATATTTTCTAAAAAGTTGAGCAAATTATGTTTTGAAATTAATATTAAAAATACTTCAATCCTTACGTTTCCTTGTAACAATAAAATTCGAGATTTTTGAATAGAGCTTTTGAGGGCTCAGGGAGCTCAGATCTTAGGCTTTTAAACACCAGAGCCACATAGTTTATAAAACTTTTATGTTAATTGTACAAGCAGTGACTTATAGCTTCAGGAAAGGCAGTTGAATGGGGCCAATGTATGATTTAATATAAAATTAAAGCTGCAGTTGCAATTTATTATTAATGATATAATTCACAGGAAAGTGTAGGGAGTATTTAATGTATCAAATTAGTAAGTAGTACCTTTTCAAAATAGAAATTATTTGGTCAAGTGTGTTATGTTTAACATAAGTCTCCATTATGTATAAGGAACAAGGCAAACTCCATATTAAAGACTTGGCAGTGTGAGTTACCATGATGCACACCTAGGTACGGGATTCCCACCCTGTTCCCAGTGTTGCCACAGGCGGGGAGGAAAAACCTGTGCCTTAGGGTGAATGTTTCCCACTTCCTCATCAAATGGGGCAGGGGCGGGGGACAGGCAACCTATTTCCAGAAACTGTTGGCCATCTGCAGGGAATGTCAGCCAAGCAACCAGATGTCTGGTATGGATTGGCTCCCACATCTGGCTTCTTGAACGAATTCCTCCTCTTCCTCCTACCCCCAGATGTTTTAGAGACGCACACAGAGAGCTTAATGAAGCTTGTCCAAGGCGCACAGGGGAAGGGGGCGGTAATATTTCCGTGTCCTGCAGGGGGCGAAATTACCCCTGATTTTCGCCAGGCGGTTCACACGTTCCAGCAAACTTCAAAGCCAGATCTCCTCCTCTCCTTTCAACTCCATCCCGCCCCATCCTCTGGAATCACATGTGGACTTTATCGGGGCCCCTGTTCTGAGATCGCTGGGGAGGGTCGGAGTCTCTGATGGGGAGCAGGTGGGCTGGTGGTTAAAATTCCTTATCCATGGAGCCCAGTTAACTTGGAGAAGCACCGGTCCCCAGTCTGAGGTTATTGAACTCTGGACCATGCCTCTTTCCCTACCCCGGGGGCTTGTCTGTGTGTTTCCCACAAACATGGCACGCACAGGTTGGGAGCACATGGTGGGGATATCGGAATCCATCCTTCAGTTGAACGTCACTGTCCCCATGATCATTGTCATGTCCCATTTCACATCTTCAGACTTCCTCTGGCTTAAAGAGAGATGTGTTTATCTGGAGCCACCCTCAGCACGCTCTTATCTTAGCACCATTCAATGAGACTGGAAGTCCATTTTGGTGTGGGCAGAGAGACAAAACAGACCTGGATCCGGGGCGTTGCTCAGAAGACTAACTGATAATATATCACAAGTGTCATTTTAGACTCCTGTGCCATGGGGCCATCTCTCTCTACTCCAGTAAGAAAAAGGGGGAGACAGCACAGGTGTACGTGTTCTCTAGATTCTCTCCTGTAGATGCGTATGCAACAGGTAGGTCACAGTCTGACTTTGTGCTTTCAATGGCATAGCCCTGCTGTGAGTTCTCACCCATGCTTATGGTTTTTACAGTTTTCCTGTGCTTTTCTTATTGCCCTCACAGGTTGGAGCTGCTTTGCTTTCATCTGCTTTTCCTTGAAGTTCTAAAAGAAAGAGCAGCTAGGTTTTGTGAAAGCAGGTAGCCCTTGGCAGGAAGCCTGTGTATATTGTGGGTGTCTGAGCAGAACTGATGGCTGCTATGGGCCGTGTGGCAACGACTGTATGCTTGTCACAGGTTTTAGAAGAAATGATCCGGCTCTTCAATTCTAAGGGAGCTGGCATCCCAGTCCAAGTAGTGGTGGACAGAGGCCCTGCAGATGGTTAGACCTGGCTTTCACTGTTGCTGAGGTTGTGTGGCCTACAATCAGTGGGCGGGACTGTCCCGAACGGTCACTGTGCCCGGCCAACATAAAACTAGAAAGAGGGTCCCAGTGGTTGCTTGGAGCTAAAGACCTGTACCCACCAAAATAGATCCTTTGAAATAATATGGGGATGCTGTTAAGATCTGGACCAGCAGAAACCCTGCGATTTCATAAGGCCATGAATTTCACGGTCTTCATCTGTGTGGTCCCACGCTCCAATACTTTGGACCACGTGAGCTAAGACTGCCAAATCAGCAGGTCTCAGTTTCTCTTTTCAAATCCAAGCACGTTTCACCAGGTAAAAGGATCTAATGTTAAAAGTGAATTTGCTTCTAGGATCCAGTGATCACTGGTATTCTTGGAGTGGGCAGGCGAGTGAATTTACATCCATGTTGGCACAGGTTGCTATTACAGTGTGTAAAGTCCACAGCAACATGCTTCAGGGTCCCATCACCCCTCCATTCAGGGTGCATGCCAAGCCCCTACCCTTCTTGGAATGATCTTCTCCAGCTCTCTCCAAGTTTTGCCTTGCACTATGTAAACTAAATTGTATTTCGATACATTCAAATGCAACATTAACAGACAAACTGGAGAAGCAGTGGGACATTTCCAAGAAGGTACGCTTGGCTTTTTTGTTGCATTAGTGGATTACACCTTTTTCCTTTTGGGTGCTACTTAAGAAGCCAAACCGTAGCGCCAGGGAATAGATAAGTCCGAGTAGCCAACCGGAAACCTCAGGACTCCGGTTCTGGTTTATGTTTGGCCCTTTCTGTGGCCTGCAATCAGCTTCCTCGGAGGGTGTGTCCCAACTTTCAGCAGCTGCCTTTGAAAGCCACGTGTCCGCGAAACGCCTACATTACATCAATAAGACAGTAAGGAGGGGTCTGGGGATTTAGCTCGGCGGCACAGCGCCTGCCTGGCAAGCGCAAGGTCGTGAGTTCGATTCCTAGTACCGAAAAAAAAAAAAAAAAAAAAAAGCAACTAAGGAGGAGATGGGAAAACAATCTTTTTTTCCCCCTCAGTCAATCCAGGCGATATTAATTTAATAGCTTTGTTTACTTTTATTTAACATAATGTAGGCCTTTGACGTGATAGTAAAAAAGAAGTGTTTCTATTGGAGAGTTGACCAGATCATTCTTACCGATGACCTCTGTGGCTTTGGTACCCCGCTGCTCCCCCGGTGCCTCCAAGAATTCTCTGTGCTTGAAACCTACCCACAGCGCAGGCGACGCCCCTCGGGAAGGGAGGGTGAAAGAAGGGGGCGGGCGTATTTAAATAGCCCGAGAAGCTCGCCTCGCCATTGGCTGCCGGTTTGTCGGTCACCCGGGAGGGCGGGGAGTCCTGGGGGCTGGAGTGAGGTACCTGAGCTGGAAGCGCAGCAAAAAGCCCACGTTGGCCGCTCGGTGGAGCGCGGCGCCGAGAGGCGGGAGACTGCGAATTCCGGCTCTGACGCGCGGCCGCTGCCCCGCGCACCGGTCCCCTTTCCTCGCAACCCTTCTGCGGATCGGCCTGGCGGGGCAGCCAGCGGAGCTCTGAACGGAAAGCAAGATCTTCGTCTCCTCGGCTCGGGGAGCGGCGTGTGATTTGGAGAGGGGAGCGACAGTGCCCTAGGGCGGAGGGGCGCAGAGTTAGGGAACCAGAAGGAAGTTTAGCCTCGCGGAGACGACTGGCACTTCGGGACGCTTCGTCGCCACCGCCCGGGCCCCGCGGCGGGGTGAACTTCACGGTGGCCCTGCGGGCCGCGGAGGGGCTTGCACGGGGAGGATGCCGGGCGCGCAGCCCCGCTGCTGAGGCCCCGCTGCCC